CCCAACTCCTCCCGACTTTTTTGTTCACTTGGATGTTCCTCCTTCCCTCTGTGAAGCCTGAAGTCAACTAAAGGGCTAATGATAGCCATCAAAATGCCTACCATTTGATATTAATAAATAAATTATCTCTCAGCATAAATGACTACTAGACCATCGCTTAACAATATCAAATAGCGCAGAAAGTTAGAAATGGCAATGAATCAGTAACTACTTCAGTTCAATTAAGCGAAAAGCAGCTCTATCAAAACTTGTTTTATACATTTGATGTAATGACCGCCTTGATTCGACCCCAATTTTCAAATAGCAATAAATTTAATGCCCCCCCCCACACTCCTTCAACAGCACGTTCAAAAGATTGGAGAAACACATTATCTCATATTTGTTTTTAAAATAAAGATTTGCTATTGAGCAAATGACATAATTAAAGCCCATAAGTTGGAATTAGGATATAGAGATATGTATTACCTCACATCAACGTCTTCTCGACCAGAGCTGACAAAGGTAAAGGTTGTGTTTGGCCCGAATAGAGGTGCAATCCGAGCAGAAATGAGCTCTTCCACAGATGACTCCAATTTCCGCTCACCGTCGATAAACCAAGGAGTCTGGGGAAGAACTCGACTCATCTTAGCGTAGCGTCCGGCCACTATCAGGGCTCCCACACGCGATACTTTGACAGATGCCAACTGGAGTACTGGTAACTTGCGTCCCTCGTTTTTCTCAATTTCTAAACTACAACAAGGACAAAGACAAGTAATACACTCAAATTTTTGGAAGAGCATTGGCTGGTGTGATTTTCAGACACCTGAATTGTAGACACAACAAAGTCTTGACCTACTCGCCTCCTCTGTTGTATATATATATATATTTGAACCTGGTGTGTGCGATAGACTTACCTCCACGTGGTGCACCCTGGGCAAGGTATATTCATACGGCAAGTCTATTGACTGGCAGTTGACTTCTCACTGCAAACTACCATCACCTCACTCGATGCCATATTCAACCATTTCACAGTATTCACCTCACCTTTGTTCTACCTTTGTGTTTGTCTCTAACATCTTTGAAACACTCTTCTGTCCCCCCCCCTGTCGACTTTTTCAATTTGATGTTCCCCCTCCCCTCTGTGAAGCCTGAAGTCAACTAAAGGGCAAATGATAACCATCAAGACGCCTGCCATTTGATATAAATAAAATAAATAAATAAATAAATATTTGAACCTCGTTGTGAAACTCGACATTAAAGTGTAAAC